ACGAAGGTGGCCTTGGCTGCTGGGGCGCTGGGCACTATGCCCGTCACGGCCTGGAGCTGGCCCACAACCCAACCCGCTGGCCAAGTGGCAGCGGGCTCAACTTTGACGACGGCGAAGCGGAGGAGGGGACAGAGGCGCTGCGCATGTACCTGGAAACGTATATCGGCGCCTCTTACGCGTACTACGACGACGTGTACGTGCGGGTTGGGGAGACGGTCAACGTGGAGGTCAGCCGCGAGGCCCTTCGCCCGAAGGGCCCAGGCGAGGCTCCGCCTAGCGCGCACAAGATGCCGTCGGCGAAGCCGCTGGCCGTGGGCGGGGAGGCGGACGCCCCAAGGGCCCCGGGATCCGAATATTTCTTGGATTGGGGGCTGGGGAGCAGCTAGGTTGGCGCTGAGCTTCGTGGGGCCCGGCGTGGCCTGGAGCTTGCCCTACGCGGTGCTGCTGGTAGCGGGACTGGCGCTGAGCTTTGTGGAGCCCTGCGCGGCCCGGAGCTGGCCTTTGTGCTACGTTCCCCACGTGCACTGCGACGTGGTCAACGTGGAAGCGCAGGAGAACGAAGTCGGTGGTATCGACGAGGACCAGATCCTGGTCCCGGAGCCCCGCGGCCCGCCCGGCTCGCGCAAAGCGCTGCCGGCGGAGCCAACAGGCCGAAGCCCACCAGGCGTGCGCGATGTGCCGCTGGTGGGACCGCCAGGCCAGTGTAGTCCAAGCGTCACACAGCCGGCGGGTCGTTCGGGCCAGGAGGCAGCCGGCTGCCGGCTGGACGCGGCCGTGCGGGGGAGCGGGGGCCGAGACGGCGCCGCTTCCTCGAAGTGGCACCGTGACGGAGGCGTCTGGGTGCGTGGCGATCGTGGATCGATGCGAACCACCGGCGGAGTGTCCAGAGGGGGGCCCCTCCCGTCCCCAGAGGGGGCTGCCGGCGCGAGGGCAAGCGAGCGGTGCCCCCTCCCGTCCTCCAGAAGTGCCTCTGGCGCTGAGGCAGGCGGACAGCCGTGTCACCGCCGCGGCCTGGCCGAGCAGCGAGCCACCGGGGGAGCGGAGAGGCAGGCCCTCGCTCCGTCCTCAGGGAGTGCCGCCGGCGTACAGGCAGGCGTGCAACCGTTCCGCCGCCGCCGCTTGGCCGAGCAGGCCTACAGCTCGGACTCTT